CAAGTTTGTATTTTGGTCATGTAAGAAAAGCAGATATGGCCACGGTTATCACCACAACACATAGCACTTGCTGCTGAATTATGGATGGATGATACTGCTGATGCATGTAGGCACCTCTTACAGGTAACCACAAAGCCTCTCACTTCATGGGCCCTCTGAAGAACTGGAGAGAGGTCTGTCCTGCACAGGCCATGAGTGTCTGGCCACAAAACTTAATCAATCTGGCTGCTGCTTATCACAGACAGTGGCTTATCACTGTCACTGGAAACAAACCTGAAGGAAAGTCCTTGCTTCCTACATGAACTTGGAAAAATTCAGTGGGGTAGGGTGGAAAGGAGAAGCCGAAGTCATTCCCTTCCTGTAGAGGTGTTGAAAAAAAAGTCCATTCATTACATCAGGCTACTTAAATCAAGTGCTTAAATATACAGAATTACAAAACCATAAAGTGGTTTGGGTTTGGGACCTTTGAAGATCATCCAGTCCAACACCCTGCCATGGGTAGGGACTTCTTTCACTAGATCAGGTTGCTCAGAGCCCCATCCAGCCTGACCTTGAACACTGCCAACATGTGGGCATCCACAACTTCTCTGGGTAACCTGCTCCAGTGTCTCTCATATAGTTCATACAGGTATATGCATACACATGGCCTGCAGATCCTGGGCCTGATGATGTTGAGGCCACAACCATCCTCACAGATTATCTCACCCTAATCTGTCCTCTCTGGAGTTGCTTACCCATTGTAGCAAGCTGCCCAAACTCCCTCCATGTGAGACACCCTCACACTGTCAGAGGGTCCGATCCAGTCGCAGGGTGGGAGTACATACATGGTCTTCTCACTTGAACTGGGAACAACAAACTTTTGGTGAGACCTTTCTACATTTCCAGGATTTGCTGCTAAGGTTGCACTGGATCATCTTGGGACAAACTCTCCCAGTGGAGCTCTGACTCCCACCAGAAGAAACACCTTTTGCAGAGGAAGTTGGACTTGGTCTGAACAGAGTAAGGGAAGGTGCAGCCTTTCCTCAGCTGAGGACATCTGTGCGGGCACGTGGACACATCTGGGAAGGTCTCTGCGTGCCCAGCAGTGTGCACAGGGACTGTGAGATGGGTCGGTTGTTGACCTTCCTTTGATGCTCTGACTTGCTCCCTGTCACCTCTTCTCCAGTCCAAAGGTTACAGAAGGGAACAGATTAACATGAGCTAAGGGACTAGATGAAAACAAGCCAGGGAGGTCCACATGAAACCAGTCTGAATGCAGGTGTGGGTTGTAGGGTGGCCTGCCCCAAGCTCGGGGGCAGTCCCTCTGTGTTAAACTTGGGCAGATGCAGCTATGGGTGGTGTTGGTCAGTGCGACATCCTCACACCCCAGCCGGTGTAGCCCTGGGGTGTCAGCCTGGCCACGTCAACACAGCTGAGTCAAGCAGGGTGGGACGAGCCACTCCTTGTGTCCCCCTCCACCAAAACGGTGACGCTACTGAGCAAGTGGAGCAAAACCAGCGGTGGCTCCGAGCCCACCATCTGACCCCGGCGGTGGACTCCCACTCGGTGATCTCACTGTCGGATTACTCACAGCTTCACAAGTAGCAGAGCAAGGTCACGCTCAGTTAAAACTGAAATGGCCTTTCTTACAGTTTTCCTCTCTTGGGCCAGACACTGTAGTCCTGACTTGGGCAAAGGTCCAATTGGAAATAATAAATGTAATTACCTTGTAAGCACCTTAGTGGAAAATATTGGTACAGTTAATTACACAGAGATGCAATGCTAAGTCATTTCCCAGTGTTTTAAATACAAATATTAACGCTTTCTCCCTTGGGGTTTTGAGAAGATTAGCTGTTGCTGCAGTCTAACAGAATTTATAAGTTTTGCAGCTATTGCAATCAGTTTAAGGAAAAAGTTTCCAATGCTGATTTTGGCATCAGGGGCTTACACTGCGCAGAGCAGAGCCAGGCTTTTGAGAGCCTTTGCAAGAATGAGGTCTCTGGCTGTGGCCCTTTAAACATCGAAAATGTAAATGTTTTTCAAAGGGTGTTTTAGGACCAAAACCTGATTTTTGGATTCTCAAAGTGAAGATAAGAAACTCCCCCTTTGAATATCAGAATTTAAAACCATGGAGAGATACCAAAAACATGGGGCTTGGGTACCTTTTAAGAAATCCTAGCTAAATTGTCTAAGTGAAAATGCCCCTATCTTTCATTAAGGATCATCAGAAACAACACAAACTCTTGGCATGGACTGAGGATGTAATCTGGTATATGGAGTCTGCAAAATGCAAACCCAGGTTTTTCCACACTGTTTCTGATTGACTTCCCAGTTGTCAAGTAAGGAGCCCGCTATGGCCATGTCAGTGTTGGAAAAGCCCCGCTGCTCTCAGCCCTCTGTGAGTGAATGAGCAAAAGCCACTCAATGCGTTTTGGTTGCCTTGATATTTGTTAACATTTCTGAGCAATCCAGTGCACGCCAGCAGACATTCACAGGAGAGAGAAACAAAAAGCTCCACTCCTTTCTCACACCTCTGCAAAAGGAGTTGAGAGCATTTACGAAAATAAATAAAAAGAAAACTGCCCCAAGATTTCCCTTATAGATTCCTAAGGGAGGTTTTAAGGAAAAAAAAAAGAAAAAAAAATATGTCAGCACTTAAGGCATAGGCCTTATTGTTCAGCAAAAATCATGTAAAACATTTTGTACCAGGCCACCTCTCCTGCAGGCAGCAGCACCCACAGGGCTCTATGATCCTGCCTGCACTGCCCGGGCACCCAAGCTGCAGCAGAGCCCACCTCAAAGCCCTGAGACACCAGGGGCGATGATAGGGTATGATGCCCTGCCGGGGACCCCTAACCTGGAAAAGCCCAGACTTTATACATTGCTGTGAGAACTAAAGAGGCCAGCGATTAGGAAACCTGGCCAGGCAGCTTAGGAGACTGCTGCAGCAGCAGCAGCACAGCCTCCAACTTCTGATCCAACGACGAGCTGAGCCCATGCCACAAACGGGTACTCACGCCGAGCAAGGGGGAGGTCACTAAAAACTGCCTTTATCTATTTTGCTTGAAAAATAAGCCCTAATGCCTCTGCTGCTTTTCAGTTTTCTGCCTGGTTTGTTGCTACGTAAGCCCAAACCTTGCTCCAGCCACCATTAGGCAGCGAGGACAGAGTGAAGGAGCCCTGGGAGTCTGAGCTCACCATGCACAGGTCACAGGCTTCTTGTGCTGAGCAGCAACAGGGATGGTTTAGTCACCACCTCCAATGTTGAGCACACTTCCACATGCCATCTGTACAGAAGAATTAAGGAAGCAGCTCCTCCAAAGGAAAATATAACCCAAATTCCTCCAAAAGCTGCCAGACAGGTATTGCAGCCAGAGGAAAAAATACCGACAAAAGCAGAGGGCAAGCTCTGGTGTAGTCCAGCACTGTTCAGGTACACCCCTGCCAGCTGAAGACAGCCTCCATAAATCACAACACTGCTCTCATGAGTGTCAGCATAGAATCTTTTAATACTTCACATAAAAAACTGCATACACAGTTCATAATTTTATGTAAACATCATATACATCTCAGTTTTTGCCATGTCAGTTTATTAAAAACAAAACCAGGAACAGTCTCAGTACCACTGTTGAGGGAAGAGGGACAAAAGTAAACAAACTTAAGTGGATACATCTGTTCTCTGAACCAGAGAAACACAAGATTATTTTCACCTGGGTTGGCTACCTGGTGAAAATAAAAGTTTAAATAAACCTAGATTCTTTAAGTTGCCCTTTAGTATTAATGTCTGATGTACTCACTGCATAAGAAACAGTGCTTTCACCCATCTTTTCCAAGGCAAGAAGATACAGTGGTTTTAATTTGTCTTGTGTTGAAATCACAATTTAAAACAAGACCCAGATGAGGTTACCCAGTAAGAATGTTTCCAATGCTACAGTGTTGTATGCAGATGACGAGTGCACTGAGTGTTTAATTAAAAAGACAAAAATCCACCAAGTTGTGCAAAGTAATTTCTTTTGAAAATAAAAACTTTTAAATAAACCCAAATCAACATACTTGCAGAAGACAACATTAAAGGAAGGAGCAGGCACCAAGATCATAATATGGCAATATCATCCCCTTCCCCCTTGCTTGTCCTGCCTTGTCCGTCAGGAGGAGGATGAAGAGCGAGGAGGACAGAGCAGCTCAGCTTTACTTCCAGCCTGGTGGCTTCTGCCAAGGCTCACATCATCAGTCACCCAGGGCAAGTTCCTCTGCACAACCCACGCCCCGGCTGGGCACCCCCTCCCCACCTCACTTGAAACAAGCACCCCCTGCACTACCCCCGTTCGCACAAGACAGAAAAGGTAAGATATATACAGGCTCCGCTCGGGATGGCGTCACCTCCCCTCCCGTCTCGGTCTTCAGGGCACCAGCTTCCACAGCCCGTCGGGCTCAGGCCGAAACATCAGCGGAGAGGCGAAGGTGCTGCGGGCAGCCCGGGAGGTGCAGCCCCTTCCCCAGCCCACCCGGGGGAGAAGCACATGCGGGCAGGAGGCAGAAGTCCCCTCCGGTCTCTCAGCTCCACCGCTCTCCTCTTGCAAAAGAGAGGAGGCCGTTCGGGAGCTGGGAGCAGCAGGTGGCGGGCAAAGGGGAAGAGCCGGGTGCCACGTTTGCTCAGTCCAGTCTCAGCAGCTTTTAGTTGTCGAGAGTCTACAATTAATTCGCAGGGGCTGGCAGTAGGAGAAGTCTTCTCCCTGCTTCATTCCCAATACTCAGGGCATGCAATTCCCCCCCTCCCTCTGTCCCCACGGCTGAGCCAGCACAACCCCTTTCGGCCAAGGCTAAGGGAATGCGTTCCCTCCCCTAGCCCCCACCCCGATCTATCGCCAGCCCCCAGCGGAGGGGACAGGCAGATGCCGTGTGTGTGCACAACCCAGCTCCTCTCTGCCTGCCAACAGGTGACCCAGGCGCTGGGCCCCGCGCCGCGCTCCAGCCGCCCCCCA